CCAAAATTATAAAAAGTCCTCTCTCCTCTCTTTTTTTATTTCCTTTCCTTCTCTCTTTCTTTCTTCTTCTTTCTCTCTTTCTTTTCTTCTTCTTTCTTCTTTCTCTCCACGAATTCACTCTTCTCTTTCTCTGTCTTTCTTTTTTTTCTTCTTCCTCCTTCTTCTTTCTCTCCCCAAATCTTCATGTCTTCCTCTTTCTCCTGGTAGGGTCTGTTTGGCGGTGTCCACTGGCCTTTCTTATTCCTATTCCGATTACCATCGTCGTTGCTCATTTTCCTGCGAATGGGTTTGTGTCTGTGGATTTTTTTGTTCTCTTTTTCTTCAGCTTTTTTCCAAAATAAAAATAAAAATTGAACAAAGGTAGAAGAAGAGGCCAATAGAAGCCGACGTCGTGACTTTTTGCCCCAAACCAACCCTTGCACATTGTACCCAAATCATTCTCAGAGAATGAAGAAAAAAAAAAAGATAAAGGAGAGAGAATGGGGAAATGCCCAGTTTTCTAGCTGAGAGAAGAAGAAAAAAAATGCCCATGACAAGAGGAAGAAGAAAAAAAGAAAGAGTGAGAGAGAAGAGTGAACTCGGGGAAAGAAAGGAGAACGAAGAAGAAAAGAAGGAGAGAAGGGAAGGAAATAAAAAAGAAAGAGGAGAGATAAGACTGAACTCGGGGAGAGGAAGAAAGAAGAAAAAAAGAAAGAGAGAGAGAAGGAAAGGAAACATAAAAAATAAAAAAATAAAAAAAAGAGGGGAGAGAGAAATTTATATATATATTTTATAATTTTAGATTGATTTGACGATTATATCCCTGGATTTAACAGTTTTTTTTGACAGAAGGACTATTTAAGAGCACCTATATTAACGTTAGGGACCATTAGTGATACAAAAAAACTTTAAGGATGCAATTTGATAATTTCGCAAACATCAGGGACGTTTTGTGATAAAAAGCCATTTTATTTATTTATTTATTATGTTAATTCAGATTATATATTGTTCAACTGTACCGGCTATGCTTGTATTTCTGTCACCTTCACTAAATATTATGGTTTCCTTTTTAGGTTCGAAAAGATGGAACTAAGATGTCACTTGCTCAGAGCAAAAAGTTGTCTCAACGCACTGCTGATAATGCTCAGTGGGAGGATCGTCAACTTTTGAGATCTGGTGCTGTTAGAGGTACCGAGGTGCAGACTGAGTTTGACGATGAAGAAGAGCGGAAAGTTATTCTTCTTGTACATGGTAAGAAATGGTAAACTAGCCATATCACTAAATTGATGAAATATATGCTTTTTGGTGTTTGTGCATGGAAGATTGAAATCTGCATGTACTATAATATCTACTACTATTATCACAGACACAAAGCCTCCTTTCCTGGACGGTAGAGTTGTTTATACTAAGCAAGCAGAGCCCATAATGCCTATAAAGGATCCCACATCAGATATGGCCATAATTTCACGCAAAGGGTCTACTCTGGTTAGGGAAATCCATGAGAAGCAAAGTATGAACAAGTCACGTCAGCGTTTCTGGGAGCTTGCAGGTTCCAAACTTGGTGATATTCTTGGTGTCGAGAAATCGGCAGAGCAGGTACTGAAGAGAGGAAGTTCTGATTTTTGCTTTGCACTTTGCAGGTTTGGGACTAACCCTTTCATTTTTTATGCTAGATTGACGCTGATACTGCTGCAGTAGGTGAAGATGGTGAAATTGATTTCAAAGAAGATGCCAAGTTTGCACAACATATGAAGAGTGGGGAGGCTGTGAGTGAATTTGCATTGTCAAAAACACTCTCACAGCAACGACAATATTTGCCCATCTTTTCTGTGCGGGATGAGTTATTGCAGGTATGATATTTATCCATTTGTGTGTAATGCTTTGTTTGCTTTTGAAAGAAGTAATACCTAGCGGATCTGTCCATTCCAGGAACAGACCCCTTCAAAATTGAAAAACCGAAATTTCATTATTAATTAGCTTGAATTTATGATGCTGATCTTTTGTTGAGTGGTTTAAAGAATAAGATGAAGGGTTTTAATCGTCTGACTTTTATTGTCTTCTTTGGTGGGTACAATTCGGCAATAATTTGATTGCACTCAAATCTATGATAATTGATTTAATTGAAGGAAAAATTAATCAGCTCCTTTTACTCAAAATGTTTTCTAGAAATAGACTTGAGTATTTTTTTTCTTTCCACTTGGTTATGCCCATTTGTATATCTGAATGTTGTACTATACTAACCCTTATTAAATATCCATTTGATAGGTGATTCGAGAAAACCAGGTTATTGTTGTTGTTGGAGAAACTGGTTCTGGAAAGACAACTCAACTGACACAGGTACCTTTATTCATATCGTATCATCAAATACTTTCTCCCAAATTTGTGAGATTTATAAGACTGGATGTATATGTATGGTGTACCTCATTATCTGGTGTTCATTATGTGAATTATGTTGTCAGTATCTTCATGAAGATGGGTACACAGTAAACGGTATAGTGGGTTGCACCCAACCAAGGCGTGTGGCAGCCATGAGTGTTGCAAAAAGAGTTAGTGAAGAGATGGAGACGGAGCTTGGTGATAAAGTTGGCTATGCTATTCGTTTTGAGGATGTGACTGGGCCAAATACCGTAATAAAGGTAACTCTTTTGTTTTCTTCTTAAACTGTACTGGCTGTACTGATTCTTCCCCATGGGTATTTATTATTTTCATGATCTTTTTTTCTCCAACTTGGCTACTGTTCTGGATCTCGTTTTTCCTAATTTATTTTTATCTTTCGAGGCACAGATTTAGTTTATAGAGAAATAAAGATTACAGATGGTCTTCACCTTTATATTATTATACGTTAAATCTTTGTTTTCCAATCTTGCAGTACATGACTGATGGAGTACTTCTGCGTGAAACGCTCAGAGATTCTGACCTTGACAAGTACCGGTATGAGAAGTTGTGGAGTTTGAAAAGTCCTTTATCTATGAATTGAACTGGTTATTTACATTTAAAACAAAATCATTTACTGTCAAGTCCTTTTTGCTTTTGCAGTGTAGTTGTGATGGACGAAGCCCATGAAAGGTCACTCAACACGGATGTGCTGTTTGGGATTTTGAAAAAAGTGGTGGCCCAACGTCGTGATTTTAAGCTCATTGTGACATCTGCAACTCTAAATGCTCAGAAATTTTCAAATTTCTTTGGAAGGTAATCTTTAATTCTTTTTACTCATATGTCATCATTTTTGCATCTGCTTGCTCAGCTTGCTCAATTTGACTATTTTGTTGCAGTGTGCCAATTTTTCACATTCCTGGGAGAACATTTCCTGTTAATATCTTGTACAGCAAAACCCCGTGCGAAGATTATGTTGAAGGTGCAGTGAAGCAGGCCATGACTATTCACATCACCAGCCCTCCAGGTGACATTCTCATCTTTATGACAGGCCAAGATGAGATTGAGGCAGCCTGTTATGCACTTGCTGAGCGTATGGAACAACTTATTTCATCCTCCAAGAAAGGGGTGCCAAAACTCTTGATACTCCCCATATATTCCCAGTTGCCTGCTGACTTGCAAGCAAAGATATTCCAAAAAGCTGAGGATGGTGCTCGCAAGTGCATTGTAGCAACCAACATCGCTGAGACTTCATTGACCGTGGATGGAATATTTTACGTTATTGACACCGGGTATGGTAAAATGAAAGTATACAACCCTCGAATGGGTATGGATGCTCTTCAAGTGTTTCCTGTTAGTCGTGCTGCTGCGGATCAGCGTGCTGGGCGTGCTGGTAGAACTGGGCCTGGAACATGCTATCGGTTGTACACAGAGAATGCATATCTAAATGAAATGCTGCCCAGTCCTGTGCCAGAGATTCAGAGGACTAACCTTGGTAATGTGGTGTTGTTGCTCAAGAGTCTTAAGGTCGAGAACCTGCTAGATTTCGATTTCATGGACCCACCTCCCCAGGACAACATTCTCAATTCTATGTACCAGCTGTGGGTCTTAGGCGCTCTTAACAATGTCGGGGGCTTAACTGATCTGGGCTGGAAAATGGTGGAGTTCCCATTGGACCCCCCACTTGCTAAGATGCTATTGATGGGGGAAGAGCTAGGATGCTTGGATGAGGTTTTGACAATTGTGTCCATGCTTTCGGTGCCGTCTGTATTCTTTAGGCCTAAGGATAGGGCAGAAGAGAGTGATGCTGCACGTGAGAAATTCTCCATTCCAGAATCCGACCACTTGACACTGTATAATGTCTACCAGCAGTGGAAACAACATCAGTATCGTGGGGATTGGTGCGGTGATCATTTTTTGCATGTTAAAGGGTTACGAAAGGCTAGAGAGGTGAGGTCCCAGCTGCTAGAGATCCTGAAGACACTGAAAGTCCCTTTAACATCCTGCTGGCCTGATACAGATAATGTGAGAAAAGCTATTTGCTCTGCGTACTTTCACAATTCTGCAAGATTGAAGGGAGTCGGGGAGTATGTGAATTGCCGGACCGGGATGCCTTGCCATTTACATCCAAGCAGTGCTCTTTATGGTATGGGGTGCACTCCAGATTATCTCGTTTATCATGAATTGATTTTGACGGCAAAGGAGTACATGCAGTGTGCCACAGCAGTGGAACCACAGTGGTTGGCTGAGTTGGGGCCTATGTTCTTCTCTGTAAAGGATTCGGATACTTCAATGTTGGAGCACAAGAAGAGACAAAAGGAGGAGAAAACAGCCATGGAGGAGGAAATGGAGAACCTGAGGAAGACTCAAGCAGAGGAGGAGAAAGAAAACAAACGGAAGGAGAAGGAAAAGAGATCCAAGCAGCAGCAGCAAGTCTCAACGCCGGGTTTGCACAAGGGCTCTTCCACATATTTGAGGCCAAAGAAACTTGGCTTGTAAATGTAAATTGTATAGTATATATGATTTCAGTGCTAGTTTTCTGGTGGAAAGCAGTTTTGTTATTTGTTAACACAAAAAAATGATGAAAAAAAATTGTCCTTTTTCATCCCAGATTTATAAATAAAGAGCATATTCTCATTTTATTTATTTTCCGATTACAGATACAACTTGATATGGCCTACAAGTAAATAACGCTTTCTTTGATTGAAAGCGACCGGTGCTCCAAATCCTAACGATTTTACACAGTGGGAAGGGAACCAACCACTGCCAGAGCCAATGCTTAGCTTTCAAGACCATTCAACCTGTTCACCAGATTCTAGTTGAGCCAAAACCTTTACTTCCGTAATGTACAAAAAGCCAACCAACTAAAACCCGTTAGGATCTTCTTGTACATATCAATGCAGCATACAGAAGATGAATTTCTGTGAAGAAAAAGTGTGAGTTCTTCTTTTTCGAGAGATGGGAAATTGTGGTTCGGTTCGTAAAACCCTAGACGCCTCCCCTAAATCAAAACTCAAATGCTCAAGCTTTTCCAGGAGAGGATGCATCCTCACTGAACGGCCTATTCAAGAAAACACAAATCGTACCGTGATGCCTGGTGCAAGCAGTTTACGAGAACTAATAAGTATAATTCTACCCACTTGGCTTACTAAATTCATGGTTTATTAATTGATTTACACATATATTAGTGCTAACTAATGTAAGCCTTTCAATAATTAAATTGTTCATGGTCCTGTTAAATGTCACTACTTTGGTAGCTGGAAATTTTCAATTTTGCTTTGAGTTTCTCGTTTTGTAAGCAATCTGTGCATGCTTGCTACTCTGTAGATGGCAAAGAGGATATGCAATTTTCTCCTGACCCCAGGTTAGAATCTGATTGTGAAGATTTCTTCAGTGTCAATGGTGGTAAGATATATCAACTTAAATTTGTCACACCAAATTTCTTCTAATGTCCTAAACAAATATGATGCTGGAACTTTAGATTTTTCATTTTGTTGCAGATCTTATCCCATCTAGCACCAATACTCCAATCCACCAAAAAAGCCCCATAAAATCCCCTGCAACTGATGTGAAAAAGCAACTGATTGAATTGTTTCATGAAAGCTTCGATGATGATGCTGGCCATCAAGATTTACATTATGAGTCGGAAGCAGAATCTTCTATTTTTCACCTGCCACAAAATTCAGCAAACAAAATCCCATATGAATCTGTAGCAGATATAGTTTTCAGAAGCGTGGCGATTTCGAACGCAAATTCCGAATCCCGGACAAGAAAAGATACACAGTTTGCACAATGCTGCCTGCCAAAGTTGGTGCGGAGCCTAAGCTTCAGTGAGAGGAAGAAACGCTGAGTGACAAAGAAATCCAGGATGTCAAAATTTTCCATTTTATTGCTTAGTTATTTTCGTCTTGGTGGCTGAGTCTGGAACAATCTATATAAATGTGTTTATGTGTGAGTTGTTTTGTATTTATAAACAACATCTGTCAAAAAGTACAAATTCTGATGCTTTATACTATATCATTGCTTCTGGTGCCACTTTTGGTCTATGAACTCTCGGATTTTTGACTCATAGGAAAAGAAAGTAATAGATTCAAACACTTCTTGCACAACAAATTTCGACATGGTAATATGTTCATCCAATCAAAATGAAACTTAATTAGGATTAACGTTTGATCTGTCATAATTATTACAATAAACGAACTCACCTGAACATTGTACTTGGTCAATGCGATTAGTCCATCTCTATTTTTTTCGAACTTTTTGTTCCCAACTTGCATGGCATTCTTATGTTGATATGGACAATGCTATTTATTCCATATATTCTTTCCTAACTTTTTAATATAATAATGTGGTGTTGTACACAGTTTCTCAAAATAGTTGAGAAAAAAAGTAAGTAAATTTGCAATATGTATCGTGTTAATAGTGATTCAAAACACATAACCCAAAGCAATCAAAATAAAACCAATTTCAGAGAAACCCACAGAGATTAAGAAAATGATCATCAAGACTAAATGCAAGAAACCAAAGCAATCAACAATAAGAAACCTAGAAGACAACCTATTGGAGGTCGGCAATGGAGTTGAGCTTCGAGATTGCAAGTAGCTGCAGCCTTAGGCAATTCGGAAGAGAGACCTAGAAGATGGGGTCGAGGGGAGTTTCACAATTTAGAAGAGAGATGTAACATCCCCGACCCAATTTAACCGATTTAATCCAATTTAATTCTTTTGTGAAATTACAATTTTGCCCTTGGGAGTAGGGGTACTTTGGTCACTTTTTAATCCAGAAGGATTTTGGGGAAATGAGTGGCACCATTTTGTAAAACTCACTCACACGAGTTCGTAGATACGTAGTGGGCCCAAATCGGAGTTTTAACGAAGAAGTTGTCAACGGAAGTGTAGTGGCACAACTGTAAATATTTCGAAGTTGGATTTTTAAAACCAGACAGGTCCTCTCTCTCTCTCCCCCGACTGTTCTCTCTCTCTCTCTCTCTCTCTCTCTCTCTCTCTCCCGTTCAACGCTGGCGGTTTCAGATGGTGATTCTGTCGCCGTCCGGCCACAGATTTCGACAAATTACCTCCAAAATCTTCCTCTCCTCTTCCTCTACCTAGCCCACTAGATTTCTCCGATCGATTTCGCACGGTTTAGCGACTAGAACGAGGAGAAGTTTCGGGATGCCGGCCATGGCGTTTCCGGCAACCAAATCCATTGAGTGAGGTATGTTTTTTCATCCTTTGAACGTCCTCTAACTGTTTTGATAGTTGGTTTGGATCAATTTGAAGCCGTGAGTGTTCGATTAGAAATCTAGATTTTGTCCGACTTTGGCAGCATTTTCCGGCTACTTCCCGGCCAAATTGGAGGTCAGCCCAGTTGTATAAATTGCTCCCCTAGTTGTCCTGGTCGCGTAGGTATAGGTATTGTTAGGTAATTTGAGAAATTTTCATCGCCAGAAATTTACTCAAGCCACCTACGCACTGCCGGTGCGTGTGGCGGCGCGTGGGCCATTCTGTGGTAGGCCGTTGTGTCCTAAAATAATCCTCATGTCATCCCAAGTACGACGGATACTCGGATTTGAATTTGGTTACCATTTGGTAGTCGAATGGATTTACGCATATTAGGCGATATCCGGGTTCGATATGTTCGGACCATTGGATCAACTCCATTTCCAAGTATGTTGTTCTCTGTACCTGTAAGATCGTATAGGAACTCACGGATCAAGAATCGGAGTCCCGAATACTCCGAATCAATGATTGTAAGGTTATGGAAACGGTGATCGGCCGATCGTGCAATCGAGAGCGACCTGACCGCTCGATCGAGACCAAACTTGCAGAACGGGTTTAGTAGACTTGGTTGAACCCATAGGAACTTTTGGATCGGAAATCAGAGGTTGTGGGCTCCGCGGGCCTAATTGACTAAATTTAGGAAGTTTGACCACTCGGTTGACCGTGAGTCTTTCGAGGTAGATTCACCCTTCGAAAGTACTAGAATGACCTTTTAAACGAGTCTTCATTGATTTGTGGTGAAAGCGAGAGTGAGTCTTGGGACTCGACTGTGATTATTACGAAGTGAGTGGACATTGTTTTAAATGAGCATTACTTTTCCAATATGGACTTGCTGACATAAATGAGATGTGATATCTATTTTGGCTATGATTTTATTGGAATGTGATGGTTTTTGCAAGGATTATTATTATTATTATTATTATTATTATTATTATTATTATGTTTATCATTAAAATATATGGATTGGGTGATATGGGGTTTAATTATGAAAGGGTTTTATGGATTGTCTTGCATATGTATATACTTTAGATTATTTAGATTATTAAGACTATGAATATTTTGGGTTTTTATGGAATGTTTGCTTGTGAGAGTTTATTTTCTCTACTAGGAATAAATATTTAGGAAAATTGAATTAAGGGAGGGTATATTACTTTTATTATATATATGGGTTGTGAATCTCACCATCACACATACCTTCCCTGGTTACTATACCCACACGTGGCATTAGTTTTTCCGACTTCTGGGTTCACTTGATTGTTAGTACTTTATCACATGTGGCGTTGAATTTTCAACGTGTGGTAAAGCAGTTTGCACACATAAAACATGGTTTGGTTGGGCCACACGTGGCGTTGGATTTTCTGGCATGTGTGCTCACTTAGATACTGATTACTTTACCACACGTGGAGTTAGATTTTCCGGCGTGTGGTAAAGGATTTGGACATTTTAGTTACTGTTACCTTATTACACGTGGCGTTAGACTCTCTGACGTGTAGTAAAGTAACAGAGAGAGGGAAAATGATTATTATACTATGTCGGGAAAAAGATTAACGTTTAAAAGAATTACGCTTAGCATATGTGAATTGACATAGGGAAATGGTTGTTGAGTTATGAGTCTTAAAAACGGAGTGAGTAAAGAAAAATGGGTTGGTGTTCATGAGTTGAGATATTGTGATTTTACTTAAAGGGAAAAGATGATTCTAGAATTAACTTGTTAGTATTACTGAAAAGAATTGTATGTTTTCTGGTTAGTGATTATTGAATGAAGAACTATGTGTGGCTTGATCCCTCACTAAGGGGTACATAGGGAGCCTGAGGTTTCACCTAAGTGCAACCTCGAATTAAACTATTACTTTCGTTGAGTTTGGTTTTGATGGGTTTGAAACTTGTTTGAATCGATGATTGATTCTGGCTTGTGTGCTAAATTGGGTGCTTTTACTTTGTGCGTGCTGCCAGTTGGAATTTTATTATTTGTGTCTTGACAAGTTGAAAATTTGGGAAAAATCCGTTTTTCAAGGGAGATTGCCAAAATTTTAGCAGAGAGTCTCAACCCTCTGTTCCTTTGTTTTTGGAGAATATGATGTTATTAGTAAGTGGGCCCGAGTGGATGTGTGGTTTTGTCATGGATTCCGAGGAATTCGGGATGTGTCCTCTCAAGAGAGATGAGAGAATGAGATGGGTTTCGCGAAGCGACCGACAAGAAGAGAACTGCAAGAGAGAGAGAGAGAGAGAGAGTGTGTGTGTGTGTGTGTGTGTTATGTGGGCAATAAGTAAGTATTTATAGGTTGTATTTGCAAAATGTGTGGGTAAATGTGGTATTTGCATATTAAGTTTGAATGTGAGCGGCATTGAGCGGTATTTCCCATAATTAAATAGATCAACGGAGATTCAATTTGTTGCCCCTCATTATCCTTCCATGGATCTGGCCGGCCCGTGCATATTAAGACGTGCATGCTAATGACAAGATAAAGTCTCAAGTGTAACTTGGTTACGTAAATATAATCTTATTTTTCTTGTCACATAACTAGTCTCATGAGTCATGACGAGAAAGAGATATGTAATTGTACCCAAGTAGTAATAGAGAGAATTTTCTGAGAGAGAGCATGCAATCGAAATGCGTATATGTGCAATTATTATTATTTTTTTCTCAAGTATATATATATATATTTTAGACCAAAAATACAATTGGCAAATTTCGACTAAAAAATGATATAACAGCACACGTGGCGTAAAGGCAGTATGGAGAAATTGGAGCGAAAACCTTTTCAAAGTCGCATCGTATCGGAAAACAAAAAGTCCCAGTATTCGTTCCAAATTCTACATACATACACTTGGCTCGGCCTCTCAGTCTCAGTCTCAGTCTCAGTCGAGCGTGAAGTCCAAAAGTAATGTCTGCAACTGAAACAAGTGTTCGAAGCAGACCCAAATCCCACGGAGATGCCGAGGACGACAATGACCGCGACGCCGTTACTCTCTGGCGAACAGAGCCCAATTCGAGGCCGCGTAGAGATAGAAGTAGAAGCCACACTTCAATTGGAAGTTTCAACGTCGATCTCAAGCTCCTGCTAGGGCTTGGCGCGTTTGGGTTCTTCGTCGCCGTGCTTTTTATCTACAACCTTGTAAATCCTGTTCGAGAAGTTAACAGAGCTAGGGGACTCGTTAGGCCCTCCCATGCTTCAAAGCTCATGGACCCCCTTCAGGTATGGCGTCATTCGATTTCTCTTTGCTGATTGCTGTGTGTATATTTTTAGGTCTGAATCTGAGTACATTTTTCGGGGCCGTGGCAGTCTGAAGGTGAGAACAAGGAGAGCTTGTATTGGGGAACATATCGCCCTCGTGTTTATCTCGGAATCCGTTCCAGGTGTTTGATTGATTCTTTGCCATTGCCACCCCAAAATCTTGTATTTTTTTGGCGGGTGGTATAATTTGTGTTCCTTCGTTGTGATTGTTGTAATTTATGCTTGATCTTTTGTTTATGGGTGGTGCTAGAGGCACCAACTTTGGGCACCAACTTGCTCACCAACTCTCTAATAGAGGTGGATCCCGCCAATACAACGGGTCCCACGCTCTATTAGAGAGTTGGTGAGCAAGTTGGTGCCCAAAGTTGGTGCCTCTAGCATTTTCCTTTGTTTATTTAGGCTTTTTGGATTGCAAATGATGATGTGGTGGTAATTACTAATTATAGCTGTTGCACCTTGCAGGACCCCTCGGTCTTTGATTGCCGGGTTAATGTGGATTGGTGGAAAGGATGGGAAAAGTTTCTTGCGCCATGTTCGCAAAGACTCTGATGAGCTGAGCATATATAGTTGGGCACATCATGATGACTGCAATTTTGGACATCAAGTCATTGTTGACGATGACATGAACTTGGCCACAAGTTTCTTCAAATCTAAGGGGGAAGACAGTGGCTATGGAGGAGATTGGGTGGTTCGAATTGACGTGCGAAGCCATAAGTATAGCCACAAGTTACTTATTTCTATAACATTTGGTTTATAAATACATAGGGTACTGGCATTTTTGTTTCCAATAATAATAGATGGCAATTACTTGTGCATAGTTGGCAGAATTAGGCTGCCTTCTTTAGGCACTCACTACTCTTCTCATCATGCTTCATTCACAGATCTAAGGGGAATGAGGAATTTTGGAGAAGTGCGCATCTGTTTTTCTATTTGGATGATGAAGATGGAAATGCTCTAACTTTAGGTGGTGATAATTTGGGAATTCGTGAGAGCTCTCCCCTTGCATCTGGTTTACGTACGGATGTTGGAAGTTGGCAGCTACATCTAAAGTCACTGGTAATGTTATGAAGGCATTGTTATTTACCTTATATTTATCTTTGTGTCCAATTGACGGTCAGTTCCACATGATAAATGTTCTTAGTCATTTTTCAGTTGATGTATATTTTTGAAGGCCTTCATACTGATATGTGGCATACTTCTCTGTGTTTCCTTTACAGGATGACGTGGAAGTTCATTATTTCGGTTTTAGGATGCCTCATACTCACAATTTATCTGATATTGTCCAGGAATATCTTGAACCACAAGTATGTGGGATTTTCATGCCATTATTTTTGTTATATAGCTAGGAAGAATTTTCAGCTTTTAATATCAGTCCTAATTCTTGCCTTGACCACTTGGGGTTTCGCTGCCATGTTTCTAGGTAAGGAAGTTTGGTCCACTGCAGCTACCCGACATTTCTGATAAATCTCCAAATATTCTAGTTTTTCAGGTTCGTTGTCATGGTGGAAAAGAGTACTAGTTATCTGGGAAAACATCTTAGTTGTGTATCATAGGATCGTTAGTCTCATCTCTCAATTTCACATTCTCATCTACCTTCTCCTGTGGTTTCCCTTTCTTATGCAGATTTCTGCTCAGATTCCTTTCAAGACAGATATTGCATTCATATCCGGGGCTGATTTGGAAAGTTCAAGAGCAGAAGAACGCGTCCGCAGCCTCACAGGTTCCTCTTCCATTAAATCTTAATAAGTAACGATGATAGAAGCACACAGGATTCCACCGAGTACATAAAAGTATACAAGAAACTCATAAATGTGACTGCGAAAATTATTTAAAACAAAATAAAGGTAGCTCCAAAAGTTCAAGCTTTATAGTCAGACTTCCAAAGGGATCCGTAGGACTGAATTAGTAACCAATGTTTCAGAATCATGAACTTCCATTGTTGAAACCCAAGGTTATTCTACTAAACCTTACTGATGACTTTGCCTTCAATTTTGGGTTTTGTCAAGAACCAGAAATTACAATTCTGCTTTATGCTCTTCTTTTATCTGTGTGTGTATCCATTTCCCGATTTCACAGAAGTGGCTCCCAATTGAGACGTTGTTGCTGTCCTCTTTACTTTTTGTTAGTTTCTCTGTAATATGAAGGTACCTTACTGACCAGTCAACTGATGGAGAAGCAAAGAGAATTTGACACAAAATTTGAGAAGAGCTTTGATCAGGCTGACAAGGTATTTCATCTTCTTAGTATAATGCACTATATATTACAAACCCCATTGCATTTGGCCTGGTCTTTGAATTGAATGTGTTGTTGAAATTGAATATCTATATTTAGTCACATAGATATTGTGGTGATTTAGGATAACATGGTGAAAAGTCAAAGTTTATTTGTCCTACACTTCTATGATGCTAACTGGTTCTGCACCCTTGTGCATGCTGTGAGAATTAATAGATAGCTTTGAAAATACAAGAAGACAATAGAATTGATGAACTGAACTTGTTATTAATTGACTGAAACTTGCTCTTCTTATAAAGGAGCGTACAGACAACTAATTAGCAAATAAACAGGAACAACTAAATCACGTCTGACAAACTCCATTCACTAGAGGGATTCCTAAAGAACAGGAAGGAAACAACTGACTCCTATAAAATAGGAGCTAACAATTATTCTGCAGAAAACATAATTAAGATCAATCTCAACAAGGCTCGAAATCTTGATAGATCTATGTAGGTAAGATTTTCTTAGGGCATTCACAAGTTTTTGCAGAACTAATGGATGCTTTTATTTATTTATTTTGCCCAGATAGATCAAGCCGCGGACGAGTTTGATAAGCATGCTCCTCCTGGTTTTGCTAAGCAGGTTGTGAGCCAAGCTCTCGGTTTTATCCAGAAAGCATGTGGAAATGCCCAAAGATTTGTAAAGGATGCTCAAAATGGGGACACCCACACGGCTATTCATCATGCGGTTACAGAATATAAGCAGTTTCTCTTCAACCAATCTGCCAAGTTGTGGGTCGACCAGTACCCTAAAGTCCAGAGTGTGGCTGAGAAGGCTTCTTCAGCAGCTTCTTACTGGTCCCAGAAATACAACCATGTGGTAAAGGACTTGACACTGAAAGGTTATAACATATCGGGTGATCGGTGCATATTTACATATCATTTTGTACCCTTCTAGCTTATGATTTGGTTATGTTTTTTAGTTAAACTTGTGCTTTTAATCCTTTTTGTGTTTATCTTTCAGTTCATTGAGCTTTAGGTAATAATGATGGCTTTAGAGAGCATAATTCATGCAATTCAAGCATGTTAAGGCCTAATTTGGATGAATGGATGAAGAGAAGAAAGCTAGGGCTGCTGGTGGGATTTATTGGAGAAGTGCATCAACCAATTCAGATTTTATAATGCAAGTGTTGTATGCATTAGTGAAGTGCATCAACCAATTCATCTTTTATAATGCAAGTGT